TGCCTTAAGGAAGAAAACAAATGAAAATTCAGGAAGGATAAAGGCATTCTCCAAGGTTAAGATTTCTCAAGGAAGACAGGTGGATGGTTAATCTGACATTTTTCCTGCCCTGTTAAATCATAAACAGGAAAAGATCAAGGACAGCCACACATTCTTTGGCAATGTCAAGACCATCCAATGACCAGGGTCATTATGTTGACACCACGACTGAAAATTAAAATGACTGAATAGCTGTGTTTCTATTCTGATACAAATATTTGTCAACAAAATGGAGAAATTTTGACAGAAGGAAAAAACCTTAGGAAGGGAAAGAAACGGTAGGAACTAAGCCTAATTGAGCATCTAATACATGCAAAATACTCCTTTAGAAACCATTGTATACATTTTATTTCATCAAAACACCTGTAAAGTAAGGATCATTTTGCCTACCCTACAGATAAGGAATCAGAACCTCCTTAAGATAAAGTAACTTTCCCAAGTGTACACACCAAATAAGAGCTAAAGGAATTCTAACCCCGATGGACTCTTTACTCCATTCACCTAGCTGAGTTACTTTCATTAACTCATTTCACTTGATGTCAGAAATTTTGAATGTATGCATCATTATCCCCATTTCACAAATGAAGGAAAAGTGAAGTCAAATTGGTATTTCCCATCCATCATTTCACTAACAAGTACTGCCTGTCATGAAGTTTTCAACAGTATAGAAATGTAGAAAACTGACATTTAATGTCAAATAACAGAATATTAGTGGATTTTCTATGAACCAGTCTCTCTCTCTTTCTGATTCTCAAAAATAATTTCTTTTGATATTTGATCCTTTACATATATTAGTATTAAAATTTTATTCCTTCTCTGAAATATTGCTGAAACTAGCAGTGGATTTTGCTTGTTGGTTTATTTGTTCTGATGTTAAAATTTGTTATTGATGTTTAATCTTATTTTTCTGTAAAATATCAAATCTCAAAATATCAGAAACCTCAAAGCTCATTATCAAAGGTATTGGAATATTACTCAGCCTTTGAAAATAATGAAATAATGCCATTTGCAGCAACATGGATGGGCCTAGAGATTGTCATACTGAGTGAAGTAAGTCAGAGAAGGAGAAAGCTTATATGACATCCCTTATATGTGGAATCTAAAAAGAAATGATGCAGAGAACTTAGTTATAAAACAGACTCACAGACTTAGAGAATGAACTTATGGTTGCAGGGGGTGAGGATGAGGGAATGTTGGGGGAAAGGAATAGTTAGGGAGTTTAGAATAGACTTGTACACACTGCCATATTTAAAATGGATAACCAACAAAGAACTACTATATAGCTCAGGGAACTCTGCTCAATGTCATGTGACAGGCTGGACAGAAGGAGAGTTTGGGAGAGAATGGATACAGGTATAAGTATGGCTGAGATTATAACACTGTTAATTGGCTATACCCCAATACAAAATAAAAAGATTTTTTTTTCTCTTATAAAGATAGTAGGAGATGGAGCTGGGACTCAAATTTGTTTATGCATGACTTCCAGCCATTAAAATAAGAATCCTGACCATTGTTAAGGATACTCCAGTATTAGAGTCTGCACCAACATGGTAGGATTATATATTTTTTCCACACAGAGATNGAGATGGAGTTGGGACTCAAATTTGTTTATGCATGACTTCCAACCATTAAAATAAGAATCCTGACCATTGTTAAGGATACTCCAGTATTAGAGTCTGCACCAACATGGTAGGATTATATATTTTTTCCACACAGAGATAAATAATTAAAGGGGCTTGTCTCAACTAAATTTGTTATTACTTTGCCTACTTTTTTGGCCATAATATAACATTTTGTCAGATAGTAATCTGTGCCCAAAGCACAGAAGCAAACTGGTGATTCTGGAGGTGTTGGTGAAGATGCGTATGTGAGAAAGAGTGTGTAATTACTTTAATAAAGATATGTTCATGGCTCATCCCATTTCATAATTTACAGACCCACCTAGGTCGCCTGTTTAATTAATAGTTGAGCTGCACATTGAAGTAGGTGAATCTGTGCAGACTTTCCTGATCAATCTCCATATTTTATTACTTGAGTTTCTAGAAATAGGTACAATATTCATCAGGTTGAATTTTATCTAATTGAGAGTAGTTTGAAGGTTTGTGCCTTCAGAAGTGCTTAAATTTGTTGCCTTTCTGAATAACACTAGGGATTTTATGAATCCCATCTCACGAAGTTTCCACAATGCCTGTGAGGCACACACAAAAATAAACTTAAAGGCTGTGTTCATTGTAAGATCAAAGTATCAAAAAGGTTAGAATTGTCTTCCAGCCACAAAATATTTTCTTTAATGTTGAAATTTTAAAAGTTCATTGTTCAGATGATCAAAGGCTTGTCTCAAATAGTCAGCTGTGCTTACCATACTCCACCATAAATCCTATGGTATCTTTCTCAAGACAATGACCTCAAGTAATACCTCATGCACAAAAAATGCTTTTGAGGTCAAATGTATTTAGGAAATGGTTATATCATATCTCCTAAGAGATTTATAATACATTTATACATTACAAAGAAGTGGATTTCAAATTTCACTGTTCATTTGAATTGCTGGATTGATGATTAAAAATGCAAGCCCTATATTCATAAGACTGAATTATCACCCAGGAGTATTATATTTAACAAGCACCCTATATGATTATGCGAGAAGATCATTCAAGACCAAAGATTTAAGAAATTTTGTGTTAAAGACTCTGAGAAGAACTATCTTAAATACCATTGTTTAATGTTCAAGTAAATGTTTCCTCAAACTTATGTAACTTATATACTCCACTCTTCAAAAATATATTTTGGGAAGCCTTATACTCTGCATTTACTTTCTGCATTTTGAGCTTGATTTTGTACATTTTAGTTTTTTCCCCCTCCAAGGCCAAAGGCAAGTATAATAAAAACAAAGGTCAGTTGTATTATTACAATAAAAACAAAATACTTGTAATATTCCAGGGAAATTTTAGTTTCTGGGTGTAACTCAAACCCATACAACATAAAAAGAAAAAAAAATTAGTACAGAAGATTCCTCATGTAGCTGCCTAAAATTCTTTGGACTAATGCAGTCAAAATTTCAACTACTCTTCTATATAGTGTAGACTTATTTTGAAGAAGAGGCTATTGTACAACCCGTTTGGAGCTGTTATCAAATATAACTAAATCTTATCATTTGACAAACTCAGACACTTATGAAAATTCAAAAGGACTAAAATATTTTCATAGCCAATGTTCCTTTTATTCATTTATTTACTCAGTGACTACATATGACCATTTGCTATCTAATAGGCATCTAGCTGGGATCTAGAGCTGAAAAATGTAGGCTGTATCTTCAAGGAACTTAGAATATATTGAGGAATCAGACATACACATACATATAAAATCATTTGGTGTCAATGTTTCTAATGCACTGTACCTTTAGTGAAAGTGTGATGAGCCTGTCTAGTGGTGAAAATAATGTGCTAGGAAGGGAGAAACTAGCTGGCCTTCAGGATCTCACAGTGAAGAGGGACTGTCATGGAGGTGTAGAGGGGAGTGCATACTACACAGCCACAGAAGAGTGAAGTAACATGCTGAACGTTCAGTTAGGACCCATGTAGAGTAATAATATGGAGCAGGTAAGAATAACTTTGCTTTCAAATCTGAATTGGAGTAGGTTAAATATCCTACACAATTTCTTTAGTTATCATCCACTCCTAGAAAGTTAGATTTCAAAGCCAACTTAGGTATCCTCCTTGTTTGACTTCAAAGAAACTAACTTGTTTAAGGTTAGAGTTACACAGTGGCCATGAACTATTAGACTCCCAGTCTCTGTTTTATACATTTTCTACAGGGAAAGGATTATAGAAATATCACTAAAAAGTACATATTCTTATATTTAACAGTTTTGACATATACTTTAAAAATGTGTTTAAGTTAAAAAAAATGATGAGAAGAAAAGGAAGAGATGAAGGGAGAATTGAGAGGCAGTGAGGAAAAGAGGGAAAAGAGGCTGACTGAGGAAGAAGGAAGAAAGAGAGGGATGGAGGAAGAGAAATTCAATATTTTAACCCTTGGTTAATATGAAAATGAAAGCCAGCTGGAATATGCTGCCAGTAAGTCATTTTCTTTAAGACTATGGAAGCTAGTAAGTAAGAAGGGATATCCTGGTTAGTGAAATATATGATGTTATTTGCACAAATATAATCTTTTTTAAGGTGTTGAAGATTTTTTGCTAGACAGATGTTGACCAAAACAGACAGACTGATAGACATGTCTTCAGCAATTATGTATTTACTTGGAATCGGTAGAGAATTACAATTTGGGCATCTGCAATCATGGTGAGCAAGGTCCAAGTCCCCACAAAGCAAAGGAAAAAGGACTTTTTATGGAGGGGAAAAGAGGGTTGGAAGGGCTACAATAAACAGAGTTCTTGGCTTTTCATGGGCTGAATTATTGCCAGGAAAGAAGAGAAGTCTGTCTTCATCTTGTTGGGCTCTACTGTTGTTGTGGCATATGAGAGCTCCCTTTTTGGTCTCCTGATTCCATTTAATTGTGATTTCAGTTTTTTGCTTCTTTTTTTTTTCTTACAATGATCATAACATTTACATTGTTTTCTGGCTTGCAATCTTGATGTTCTTGAAGGCACATAGACCATGAACATATTTAAATCTTAGAGTCTAGATACATCAGGGATAATAGCATATAGTAGTTGTGCAACTCTTTATTTTTTAAAACTTTTTGCAAAGCAAGAATTTTTCATTGGAATTGAGCTTTTTTTTTTTAGTAGCTGTCTGTCATAAGCATCACTGAGACCCTCAAATGGACTGTGAATAATTGCCTTCTCCCTGGGATCTCAGTAATGTTGTGATCACTTTGTCCCTCACTTGACCTTTCAGCTTGTCTCAAAGTAAAGGAAATTTACCAATGGGAAGATTTCAAGCGAGATTTTCTGTTCCTTTCCTTCATTTAATTTAACTTCACTGACCTTTCAATCGCAGCTTTTACAGGAGAGCACAGTCTGTTCTACGAAGCAGGATGAAAATCTTCCAAACAATGACACTGCAGAATCATCACCTGTCCCACAGGTATTTTGTTTGTTTGATTGTTGGATTGTCAGAAACACTTTTTGAAGCTCATGGGTTCTATGATTTTCTCCCTTGCTCTAGCTGAAGCCAGGATGCCGTATTACCTAATACAAGATATATTTTTCACCTATTGCCTCTGGACCTTTCCATGGCCACTGTGCCTGCCACTAAGCTTTGATTTGATTAGCTGAAGTCCTAGAAGAACAAGGGCAAGGGAGGTGTCTTACCCTTCCCCAGCAACCAAGGAACAAAACAAAAGTAAACAGAAAACAAAAAGTCCACTTACATTCCTTAGAGGACAAAGAAGATAAATGAAGATTTGAGAAACAGAAGGTAGAAAGACAAACGTATCCCCCACAAAACAAATAACAAACATAACTCAGGAGCTTAATACTGAACTTCTATCTAGAAGTTCTATATTTGACCAAATATATTGCATCATAGCAATTATTAAGAGTCATTTTACTTCAGTTGCTCAGTCGTGTCCGACTCTTTGCGACCTGATGAACTGCAGCACACCAGGCCTCCCTGTCCATCACCAACTCCCAGAGTTTACCCAAACTCATGTCCGTTGAGTTGGTGATGCCATCCAACCATCTCATCCTCTGTCATCCCCTTCTCCTGCCCTCAATCTTTCCCAGCATCAGGGTCCTTTCAATTTACTTAACACAACATTTTTCAATTTGGGGGTTAGATTAATCAAAGTTTGAATGGTTTGGCCAAAGTTTTCTCAAAAAAGTTTTTGAAATTTTTTCTATTTGTAAAACATATTTTATGTGCTTTCACAAAGTAACAGTGTTAACAAAAATAAGTGTTAACACTTATTTTCTGCCTGGCATTGGTTTTCTGTAAGAAGTTTGTTGAGATACTTGAGTTACTGTTTAATTTTTACATTAAACATTTTTGAGTCTAATTATCTTTTCCATATTCTTTGACAGGATGAATCAGTGCCTCCTTGTACTGAATGTGCTGAGGAAAAAAAAACAGAAAACCAAATGACTGACACCGAAGGGACAGCAAATAGAGAAAAAAAATTACTGTAAATACCAAGAAACTGTGTTAAAAAAACATCCATTTGCTATTGTATTCATACTCTTTTTAGACCACAAGCTTCATGGAAATACTAAATTTTTAAAGCATGCAACTTTTTCACAATTTTATGTAACTTTATAAAGTAGTCTACAAATTTTCCAAAAGATTCCAGGCCAATTATGATCCTTAAGCAATAACCTAATTAAAATGGATATCCGCAGTCCTAAGTCGTCATTGTCATTAGTAAGTTGCCCAGTATAAATTGGTCTTTTTCATAACTCAAATGCAAAATAACATTTAATATTTCTGGTTAATTTGGGTAGCTAGTACTTCCCTGATCTAGTTTTTTTTTTTTTTAATCAATTGGAGAATAACTAAATGTTGCAGATCCTTAACATCCTTAGAATACAATTTGAAACCATATCATAAAGATTTTAGTCCATGCTGATTAACTGGAATCACTTTCCTTAAGGTTCTAATCTGTGCTGACCCAAATGTATCATTTGTTTGATGACATTCATTGCTATTCTCATTATTATTTACAGCCATGTCTAATAATGTCAGGGGTTTAGTCAGTTAAGAAAGTTCATTAAATACATTTAGTATGATGTAGACAAAATATCAAGAATGAATGTCTAAGTTACTGACACAATTGGTTAGATTTTTGGCATTCTATAGACACACCCTTATGGTTGTCTGCTGGAATTACTCCAAGTTACAAATCAAGCTAAGTGTGAATTTAGATATGAAATTGGGTAACAGAATGTGGGATGGGAAGAGGGGTCTGGGATACAAACATGCAAGCAGATAGTATACATCTTAAAATGGAGACTTGAAAGTAAACAGACTTATAAAACTAATGAACCCCAATTTGTATATTATGGAAAAAAATTATTCTTAAATCATTGGCTGTGGGAATCTCTGTCATTGGGACTCTACATAGGAATTGTTGTTCAGTTGCTAAGTTGTGTTTGACCCTGCACACCCACAGACTGCAGCACACTAGGCTTCCCTTTCCTTCACTATCTCCCGGAATTTTTTCAAAATCATAGAGTACCACTGATCAAATAAATTCACTCTTGAATAGTCTGCTTCCTCTCAAGCAAGAGAAATTGATACTGATCAAACTTATAGACTAAAATTAATGGGTTAAATGATATGGTTAGGTTGTCTGCACCAAATATATTCACTTCTGTTGGTTAGACTCATTCTGTAGAAAGCACATAAAACCACTGTTTTTTTCTAGAATAGATCTGCCAAGCCACAATTAATTTGGAGCACAATATGCTGGCAAGCTACATATATATATATAAAATGAAATCTGTAATCAATAGATGAACTTAAATTGTGGGATGTAATGGCCCAACTTTGATCACAATGACTTATTCAAAGAAATGTAGTGATCTGGAGAAATGCTAAACTATAATTAACAGTAAAAGTGATACTGTGACATATTAAGATATGTCTAAGTAATACTGTGACATTAAGATATGTCTAAGGTACCTAAGAAAGATTAACTAGTTTTATAGATGATTTGTAGTGTCTTGGGGTGAAATGATCAGGACAGAAGAAGTGATCAAGCCTGAAGTTCTTGCTGACTCCTTAGCTCTAAAAATCATTTGATTCGATGAGACGGAATATTGCTAGTTTCCCAAGTCTTATTTCTTGTAATTTTCATACTGTACCAAGAAACTCTTGACCATCTCTAAAGGTTTATGAAAGGGAAGTAGATAGTTTAGTTTAGGTGTACTTTTCTACTCTGCCCACTGCCCTGCCCCTCCCCATGGCTCCAAATTCAATCCAGTTCATATGGATCCTATGGAAAGTTAATCACCATTTCACTGTGTATGTCTTGAGGAATCTTTGAGATAATAAAAAGAGAGTCACTATGATATTTTTCTGAAAATTTTAGAGGGTAACATAATGAAAGAGAATCTGGCTTAATATTAATCAACAGCTTCATCTGTAAATTATTTTTTCTATACTCTGAATTCCTATTCTAGTCCATAATAATATCAGTTTGTTTCTCTCAATTACTGACATGATCAAGTGGGCTTTGACTGATAATGTACACAACCTTCTTTAACAAGAGGTAGCATTATTCATCCTAGAGTTTACTGTGGTATATTCACTGCATTATTTGTTAAAAAAAAAAAAAAAATTTTGTGATAGAAGAATTTCATAAACATTTCTAAGAAATATTCTAGAAATTCCTTTTAACAGTTAATCACAATTCTTTTTAGTATGTACTATTACTTGACTTTAATGAATGCATTTATATCAATCCATTAATTGGTTTAAAATAGTATCAGAGAGGTTTAAAATGTATTACAAACGTGTGGCTTTTGTACATGAGAGGTACCATTTCTTATTTTTTAAAGTAACTTCTATATAAAGATGTTATTTTTGAGGGGCTAACATTTGTAGCCTAGCTATCTGCATATGGAAAAAAAATTAACCAAATGTAGAATGTAGATAGTACAGTTCTACTATGTACTGAAATGGTAAGCAGTGAAAAATTACATATGCTTTGCAGAATGCAAATTGGTTCCTATTGAGAAATAAACACATTTTCCAATGGAATAACTTAATATAGGTACTACCACAACTAACTATTTATTTATCTCTAGTTATTTTGAAAAACTAAGCAATGCTATATACTCATTCTAAGTTGGAAATTGGTTTTGGATTTTGTGTTTCCTTTTATATGCATTAACTGTGTAAACTAGTGCCTAAAATGTATAAGACCTAAATGAAAGCTGACTATGTCTATCCCATAGCAACATTCTCAAGATGAAAAGTGAAAAATTAACTCACCTGGATGTGGTTTTCTGTGTGATCTCAAATCTTTGAATACTGAATGTCCATGACTAATTTTTTTTCATTCTTTAATCCTATATTTAGCATTGAAGTGCTATTTGAGAAGCATTTGTTTCATAAAGTATACTGGTTTAAAAAGCTAAGGCAGTTCCATGTAAATGAGACATGTGCTGTTTTAGATGGACAGTGTGGATAGCTGGATTAAAACAGTATTTGTGAACTTTGCTAAAATGGAATCTTTTATTTTTGTAGCTCAGGTACTGTAATCAGCACTACTTGAAGTAGAAGTTGAACTTACTAGTGACACCAGTGAGTAAGGTAAACTGGTCAGACTGAGAGACTAAAGAAAATGTCTACTTAGGGGACATTTTCTTAGTCATGTATACATTCTTAAATTTCCCCACACTATCTGTTCATCTGGGTTACATTACATAATATTGATGGTCAAGTGGTGAAGAAGAAAAGGTACCGGAAAATGACCTATTTTTGCTCAATAAACGTTTGTTTCCAAGACCATTATGTATATATCTACATAAACTAATGGAAAAACACATACTCACTTTTAGGCATGTAATCTGTGGGTTTTATTTATTTTTCCTCCCAGTTAGTTTGCCCTCTGAGATTCGAAAACTTCCCCCAGACCCGCCAGTGCGAGGGTTTCCTGGTGTTTGGAAACTTCCTCTATTAAGACTCCCTTCCCGGGACGGGTCTCTGTCCCTAGCTCTTTTGTCTCTCTTTTTATCTTTTATATTTTGTCCTACCTCCTTTCAAAGACGATGGGCTGCTTTTCTGGGTGTCTGAGGTCCTCTGCCAGTGGTCAGAAGTTGTTTTGTGAAGTTTGCTCAGCATTCAAATGTTCTTTTGATGAATTTATAGGGGAGAAAGTGGTCTCCCCGTCCTATTCCTCCGCCATCTTAGCTCCTCCACATATTCACTTTTAAAATAGTACTTGCTTCTGTGTTTCATGATCTAAGAACTTTTTTGAAATCTCATCCTAGAAATTTCTTCGATCTCTCCTTGCCTCTGTCTAAGAAAACCCTTATTTAGTGTTTTGTTTTGTTTTTTTCCTTTTTTATAATAGAGTTCCATGTTGGCAGAGATTTTTGTTTATTTGTTTGCAAATGAGTCTCAAGTGCTTAGAACTACTTGCTCCATAAAAGGTGCTCAAATATCTGTTGAAATGAATGAATTCAGAACCTAAAGCATCCAGGGAAGAAGGAAATAAGGTAGCATGCTCTAGTATGTAACAGGAAATCATGATACCATCTTTTAGGAAAAGACAATAAATGTGTTTTTGTTTATTTTGATTTGGGGCTATTTTTCTTTTGCCTGTTTATCTGAAAGGTTTTTCTTTGGGCCTACAGATGTGACTTTAAGCAAAGTAGATAGGCGCATGCTTCTGGCTCAGTCACATCTGACTCTTTGTGACCCTGTGGGCTGTAGCCCACCAGGCTCCTCTGTACATGGGATTCTCCCAGCAAGAATACTGGGGCAGGTTGCCATTTCCTTCTCCAGGGGATCTTCCTGACACAGGGATCAAACCTGTCTCTCCTGTGTCTGCTGCATTGCAGGTAAATTCTTTACTGCTGAACCACATCTATGAGAAACCTTGTAGATATGGCACTCCTGGATGAATTTTGGAATACAGCTTATTATGTAATAGACATCACTCATATGCCATGTATGTTTCTTTAATTGGAACCCAGCGGGGACATTTACCTGAACTAGCACAAGTCACTTGATTTCTTTTAGTATAAGTTACTAAGTTCTTAGGCCTTAAGTAGTATTAAAGTAATAAAGAATGTTCAAACCACCAGACAATTGCATTCATCTCCCATGCTAGTAAGGTGATGGTCAAAATCCTCCACACTAGGCTTTAGCATTAGGTGAACTGAGAACTTCCAGATATTCAAACTGGATTTAGAAAAGGCAGAGGAACCAGAGATCAAATTCCCAACATGTGCTGAATCATAGAGAAAGCAACGGAATTCCAGAAAAATATCTACCTCTGTTTCATTGACTACACTGAAGCCTTTCACTGTATAGATCATAACAAACTGTGGAAAACGCTTAAATAGATGGGAATACCAGACAATCTTACCTGTCTCTTAAGAAACCTGTATGCGGGTCAAAAAGCAACAATGAGAACCCTGTATACAACAACTGACTGGTTCAGGATTGAAAAAGAAGTATGACAAGGCTGCTTATTGTCACCCTGTTTATTTAACTTATACACAGAGTACATCATACAAAATGCTGGGCTGGATGAGATAAAAGCTGGAATCAAGATTGCTGGGGAAAATATCAACAATCTCAGATATGCAGATGATACCACTCTAATGGCAGAAAGCCAAGAGGAACTAAAGAGCTTCTTGATCAGGGTGAAGGAGGAGAGTGAAAATGTTGGCTTAAATATTAAAAAATAAATAAATAAATCCAGATATTGACATTCAGCCCCATCACTTCATGGCAAATAGAAGGGGAAAAGGTAGGAGCCGTGACAGATTTCCTCTTCTTGGGCTCTAAAATCACTATGGACTGTGACTGCAGAAATGAAATTAGAAGACGATTGCTTCTTGGCAGGAAAGCTATGAAAAAGCTAGACTGTGTTAAAAAGCAGACACCACTTTGCTGACAAAGGTTCATATATTCAAGGCTGTGATCTTTCCAGCAGTGATGTACGGATGTGAGACCTGGACAATAAAAGAAGGCAGAGCACCAAAGAATTGATGTTTTTGAACTGTGGTGCTGGAAAAGACACTTGAGAGTCTCTTGGAAAGCAAGAAGATCAAACCAGTCAATTTTAAAGAAAGAAAGCTTGCATACTCTTTGGAAGGTCTGATACTGAAGCTCCAATACTTTGGCCACATAATGCAAACAGCTGATACATTGGAAAAGACCCTGATGCTGGGAAAGATTGAAGGCAGAAGGAGAAGAGGGCAACAGAGGATGAGATGGTCAGATGGCATCATCGATTCATTAGACATGAACTTGAGCAAACTCTGGAAGATGGTGAGGGACAGATATACCAGGTATGCTGTAGTCCATGGGGGTTCACAAATAGTTAGACATGACCTGTTGACTGAACATTTCAAAAGAAGGATAGATATTTTTTCATATAATTTATTTACTGGCTAACATTCTGCATATACTTTTTGTGGAGAAAAGGAGTCAAAGTCTAAGGTATTGTGAAAATCACTGAATAACATGATCTCAATTATTCCCTCTCCATTCATTCAGCCAGTCAGTCATTCATTCACTATATATTATTTGAGATTCTAAAATGTGCCTACCATCCACTTATTTTGAGGGCTCAGTAGTAAACAAAAGTAGAAATTATGAATATTAACATTGCACTTAATATATGCCAGCCATGGTTTTCATTTTTTATCATTAGTATTCTCAGGATTCTGCACTCAATATGAGTGCAATTGCAAATTTCAAAGACTCAGCAGTGGCCACAGGACTGGAAAAGGTCAGTTTTCATTCCAATCCCAAAGAAAGGCAATGCCAATGATTGTTCAAACTACCACACACTTGCACTCATCTCACATGCTAGCAAATTAATGCTCAAAATTCTCCAAGTGAGGATTCAACAGTAGGTGAACCAAGAACTTCCAGCAGAGGAACAAGAGAGCAAATTGCCAACATCAGCTGGATCATCGAAAAAGCAAGAGAATTTCAGAAAAACATCTACTTCATTGACTATGCTAAAGCCTTTGTATGGATCACAACAAACTGGAAAATTCTTCAAGAGATGGGAATACCAGACCACCTGACCTCCTCCTGAGAAATCTGTATGCAGTTCAGGAAGCAACAGTTAGAACTGTTGGAACAACAGACTGGTTCCAAATCGGGAAAGGAGTATGTCAAGGCTGTATATTTTCGCCCTGTTATGCAGAGTACATCATGAAAAATGCTGGGCTGGATGAAACACAAGCTGGAATCTGGGTTGCTGGGAGAAAATCAGTAACATCAGATATGCAGATAACACCGCTTTCTTATGGTAGAAAGCGAAGAGGAACTGAAGAGCCTCTTGATGAAAGTGAAAAACAAGAGTGAGGAAAAGAAAAAAAAAACTGGCTTGAAAGTCAACATTCAAAAAACTAAGTTCATGGCATCCAGTCCCATCACTTCATGACAGATGGGGAAATAATGGAAACAGTGACAAACTTTATTTTCTTGGGCTCCAGAATCACTGCAGATGGTGACTGCAGCCACGAAATTAAAAGACACTTGCTCCTTGGAAGAAAAGCTATGATCAACCTAGACAGCATATTAAAAAGCAGAGATATTACTTTGCCAACAAAGGTCTGTCTGACTCAAAGCTATGGTTTATCCTGTAGTTATGTATGGCTGTGAGATTTGGATCATAAAGGAAGCTGAGCACTGAAGAACTGATGCTTTTGAACTGTGGTGTTGGAGAAGACTCTTGAGAGTCTCTTGGACTGCAAGGAGATCCAACCAGTCCCTCCTACAGGAAAGCAGTCCTGAAAAGTCATTGGAAGGACTGATGCTGAAGCTGAAGCTGCAATACTCTGGTCACCTAATGAGAAGAACTGACTCATTGGAAAAGACCCTGATGATGGAAAATACTGAAGGTAGAAAAGAAGGGGATGCCAGAGGATGAGATGGCTGGATGGCATCACCGACTTGTTGGACATGAGTTTGAGCAAGCTCGGGGAATTGGTGATGGACAGGGAAACTTGGGGTACTACAGTCCATGGGGTTACAAAGAGTCGGACATGACTGAGTGACTAAACTGATTCTCAGGATTATGTAGAACAGATATTACAGTTATCATTATTTCACAGATGAGGAAACTGATATAGAAAAATGTTAACTGAATTGCCCAAGACTACACAGCTAGTAAGAGGTAGGAGGTGGCTGTGGATCTGACAGTGAGTTTCTGGAATCCATGTGCTTAACTATTTCACTACACTGTCTCTCTTGCAAATGCTTTCATGGAGCTTACACTTTAGAGAAAGAGACAATGTTAATGAAGGAAGGACACAGAAAACTGTAGGACTGCTACACAAGGTTCTCTTTACAGCACAGCATGGGGTGGGATGTTGGGTGTGAGTGTATCATAGCTGTGTGCAGTTTAAGAAAATGACATTAAACTAATGTTAATGAATATATAATATTTTGCATGAATGTCTGAAACTTCAAAATTAAATTTTGTAGGATTCTCAGATATTAGCTAGCAATATTTGAGAG